GATACTATATAATCTAGAGTATTATTACATCCACTTTTTAAAAAACCGTCTTCCTCAATCTGAAGAGAATATTATTCCTCTAGCTGAGCTTTTATTTTTAAAGTCATTATGTATTCATCGTCAGAGATTTTATCTCGTTTTTAAAAAGCCTTATGAGATTAGTAACCCAAGTATTAAGGTGTCACTCAGTTAAAAGTAAGTTCGGGGAAAGGTATCTACAAAAAAGGGGTTCCACGTAAAGGGCAATAACTCGGTCATCTCTGGATTAATTTCAACAAAAAACTCGAATAAACAGAGTTCAAACTGTAACATAATATGAAACATAGGAATTCGTTTCTTCGTTTAGTCCAACCAAAGAGCTCGAGGCAGTCTCGGACCTGGCAGTGAAGGGGTTAATTATTGTATCTGCCAGAGTTATGAAGGACACTAAAATCTGGTTTCGTTAATTCCACATTTAATCAGTATTGTGCAAACCTGTTCGTTCACATCATTCCGGAGACAGATTAACATTTTCCTCTTTTACAGTTGATTTTTACAGAAAGTTGTCCATTACCCCTCTTTTTCATTTTCTTTGCGTTCCTATGCAAGATTTCAGGGGTAGTCGACTGTTGTGTCTGCAATCTGCAGTGCAACTGATTGCAACGTATGTGAACGGTTTATCCTTTTCAGGCAACTTCATTCCAATTTCGAAGGTACTCTATATATCTTATACAGACCAGAGAAGGTTCATCTTTAGCCGAAATCAATTTTGAGTTTAGCTCGGTTTACCGATTTTAAGACGAACACACGGAACCTCTGATATTTTTGCCTCCTCTCCAAGAAGGTTAAGTGCTTGATCTTACCCGCCCTAATTAAGATCAATGATGTGGCTGAAAGACAGCAGTAGGGGGTAGCTTGGACCAGCAGCAGTAAAAGAGTCAGGAGTAATGGAGAAAAAAAAGCAGAGAGGGAGCCGTGGGAGAGGTGGGGGTGTATGTGAGTGTGGAGACGAAACACTGGCAGGTTTCAATCCAGGGACCTTTTGACTGACAGGCAAATACCTTACTTCTCGACCAGGATTATTCGTTCATTCATTCTATACACTCTGGGAAACACAAACATGCATACATGTAGATACACATACACATGCGCATGCACATACATACACATAGATACAAACATACACATAGATGCACATACATACTCGCATGCACATACATGCATATACATACACGTATGGACATACATTCAGATACATACAAACATACGCATAGATGCCCATACAGACACACATACACATAGACACACACACACACACGCACACACACACACACACACACACACTCACATTCATTCATCCATTCATTCATTCATTCATTCATTCATTCATTCATTCATTCATTCATTCATTGATTTATTCAGTCATTCATTCTTCCATTCATTCTGTTCCTGCAGACTACCTTCAAGTACACAAAGCAGATAGGAGTCGACGCTAGACTTGTATGTCCCTGGCCACTTCCTTTAGCTTTCACACATCCAGACCGGCGTTTGCCCCATATTGTGATGTGTCTTTTACTCTCATAACTACCTCTCCTTTTTTTCATAATTTTGGTCTCTTGTACGTCATGTCGGGTGGTGTAATCTTGTCTCTACGAATCCCAAAACATGTCAAAAATTACATTTCCTTCTTTTCCTTTTTATGGCAGTATTTAAGTCTTCAATCCAAGTTCTTTGCCTTTACGGTAAATTGTAATTACAGTTATTTTGATTTTAAGTAGGTTGTCATTTTTAAATAGTTATTTTACCTCAAGTTTTTAAGATTTTAAATATGATCATTGACCTAAGCCTAGCTGTGCTGTGAACAGTTGTGAATGCAACCAACGTGTGTTTCGCGCGTTCATATGACCTTATGTAGTAGCGAGCGCAGTAAAACTCTTACTTAACTAATTTAATTAATCCAAGTTCTTTACAACACTTCATTACTTGTGCCGGAATTATAACATGATACTTATTAAAGTAAGGATTAATTGGTGGCGTATAACCTTAAGTAGAGCTTGGTACCTTCGGGCTCTTTGATCAGACTTTGATATCGTCAAACTGTAAAAGTCGTTAATCGGGTTTAGTCTGACCGTGAGAAACAAAAACTAGTAGCACTTTATCTACAGAATAATCAGTGACTGATGCAGGTAGTGGTGGTAAGGGAGAGGGGTTATGGTTGTGGTGGTGGTGGTAGTGGTGATAGTGAGCGTGGTGGTTGTGGTTTAAGGTGCAAGGGGGTGGGGAGGGGTGGCGGTGTTGGGGGTGGTGATGGTGGTGGTGGAGGGGTTAGAAGTGCTGAATGCGGTAGTGTGTTCGATTGTTTTCGTTGTTTTCGTAATTGCTGTTCCTTTTCTCCCCTCCTTCTTTTTTATGTTTGTTACTCTCTTGTAACACCTCTAAACTTAACGCGCTCATATGACTTTATGCAGTTGCTTGCGCCGTAAAACCTCTACTAAAACTAAAACAAAGGTGACGTTTATGGTGTTAGGGCTTTTGGATTTTGGACTGTTATTGTTGTTGTTGTTGTTGTTGTTGTTGTTGTTGTTGTTGTTGTTGTTGTTATTGTTGTTGTTGCTGTTGTTGTTGCTGTTGTTACACTTACACTTACAATTACATTTATCTGAGGCTTTTTTTTTCATTCCCTTCTCTTTACGATGGTTCACGGGGAAACCAGCCTTCAAAACTTTTGAAAGGAGGTCTAACAACAAAACTAGTGACTCGACGTGACAAAAAGTAACTACCACCACCACCACTACAACAATAACAACAACAACAACAACAACAACAATAGCAACGACAACAACAAAAATTCCTGATTGCATGATGGGCAAGTTACGTCCACGTCATAATTGAGTCAGTAGAGACGTAAAAAATCCAGCAAACTGAGTTATTAGAAAATGTTGCTCCCTACATTATACATTTCTTTCCTTCATTTTGTATTATAAAATGTCGAATTGTGTGTGTGTGTGTGTGTGTGTGTGTGTGT